AGATAGATAGATAGATAGATAGATAGATAGATAGATAGATAGATAGATAGATAGATAGATAGATAGATAGATAGATAGATAGATAGAATTCACTGGAAAGAAAAGGTCTGAGAGCTAAAATTTACACAAATATTTTTCATACCATCTTTCCAATAGCTTCATGATATTTTAATTAGATTCGATTATTTAACCTTCCGTTTGTGTTGAGGCTTTCGGAAAAGGTTGCCCAGAGTAACAATTAAATGTATGCAATGAGAAAATGATTGATTATAGAAAAGGTCAGAGATGAGGGTGTTTCTTGGGTTTTAGCAATGCATGATTATACATCAAACTACCTTTATTTCATAAAAATAACAGCTTTATTCTAAATCCCCTGCATTTCAATGTGTCGCCAGGGCAGCTCTTCCAGCTCACTCTACACCCCATGAAGTTCATGACCTTGCTGTCATCATTTTAATTTTGTCACTTCATCAGCTGTTACCCTTCCCTTCATGACATGTCACTCACAAGTGAGATGTCCTGAAATCAGATGCTGTTTATCGGGCCTCAGTTTGTCATCAACAGATCCGTGAGAGGAGGTGAGGGACGGAAGAAAGGACAGAGGGAAATTCGTCCTTATTATTTCACATGGGAGCACCTGATGACACAATAATGAACCTTGGCGACCATCACTCTTTCAGTGAGTCACAGCAGCACCTACACAATTTTTGTCTCTGTTTGTAGTGCTCCACTTTGTTCCTTTCCTCTATTCATGCTCATTTCACACCTAAATCCTACAATTAATGGCATTTGTACCCATAGGGACCAGATATTGGTCCCCACTCGAGCTCTTGGTCCCCACAATGTGCTATGATTTATAGAAAAATGGTCCTCATGATGTAAAAAATGCACACCCACAGACACACACAATTTCCACATGTTGTATCTTCATCATCGTTGTGGGTTGAGTTGAGTCACAGCCATCGACACCAGCCACTTAGCAAAGGCTGCTGATCATGAGAGAAGTATGGGTTTGATGACAATAGGCAGAGAGCATGTGGAAGTCCCTCCCATGGTGAGCAGCTTGCTAAAGCATTGTGATTTTTTAAAATGTTATACTCTGAGTCCAAAAGTAAAGAAAACTATAGAAAGAAATTATAAATTGCAACAGAAAAAACAGAACATAACAATAAGTCGCTATATTCTCAAGCACTTTTTATTGTAAGAAGCATGAGATATTGGCTGACGATGGTAAATGAAGCTTAAGCAAAAATTCAATATGGAAAACTTTTATCAGCTTCACCTGAACCACTTGCGATGTCCCTCGTTCAGCTCCAGCCAAGCAACTTGGAGCTGCATCTTCATCAGCTAATCATCTTTCAAGATCCCCTTTATTTAGCTCCTGGCCTAGCTTCTCTCTCACGCACGCAAGCAACTTTCACCCACCTCCACCCCATCTCCTACCTCACTCCCAGACTATTCT